TTAAGCCCGTAGTTTTTCACTCGCTTATTTATTTCTCTATTCCACTCTTTTTCATCCCACCCTATCCCAACCGCACCCCCATATTGTCATTCCCATTCGTCATTTGGCCCAGCGGGTCCATGGCGCACCCATGCTTCATGTGTGGGGGTTTTATTACCGGTCCACATCTACTACGTTTTACTCCAATGAGTCAGTGGATTTGCAAGGCCAAGGTAACTAAATAATTTCACTAAAATGAGATAGAAAATTGAGGAGCGGCTAGATGCAATTGGTCGAGTTTAATTAATACAACAACAATCGGCAATTTAGCTTTATTTTGGTTAAGCTCACGTGACCTGCTCGACGGTGATTCTCCCGGTGGAGTCCGGCCAGTGGTGAAAACGAGGTGCTTGGCTCTGCGAGATTTGTTGTTCGTTTGGAGAGACACGTAGTGCGTGGTGCGTGATGTTGTCGGCGTCACGTGGGGAAATCGCCGCAGGCACGTGGAGATATCACTGAAGGCACGTGGAGGTATCACTGAAGGCACGTGGAGAAATCACCGCAGGCACGTGGAGATATCACTGAAGGCACGTGGAGAAATCACCGCAGGCACGTGGAGATATCACTGAAGGCACGTGGAGAAATCACCGTAGGCACGTGGAGATATCACTGAAGGCACGCGGAGATATTACTGTAGGCACGTGGAGATATCACTCAAGGCACGTAGAGATATCACTGAAGGCACGCGGAGATAACGCTGAAGGCACGTGGGGAAATCACCGTAGGCACGTGGAGATATCACTGAAGGCACGTGGAGATATCACTGAAGGCACGTGGAGATATCACTGAAGGCACGTAGAGGAATTACCGTAGGCACGTGGTGTAATCACCGTAAGCACGTGGAGATAACACTGAATGCACGTGGAGATAACTGAATGCACGTGGAAATATCACCGATTGCACGTGGAGATATCACTGACACTGAAGGCACGGGGAGAAATCTCCGTAGGCACGTGGAGATGTAGGTGTGTTGAGATGTTACCGTGGGCACGTTGGTTCTTGATTTACACGCTGCAGGGGCAGGGATGCTTCTGCATCTCGCCATTATGTTTGTACCATTTCCAGTTTATCTAACTCACCCTTTATCACCTAACTCAGTTTATCTTTGCCCTGGAGTGGGACTTTCCGCCATGGAGTGAGGATCTCTTCCCTGGTGTGGGGCTCTCTGCCCTAGAGTGGGTCTCTCTGCCCTGGAGTGGGTCTCTCTGCCCTGGAGTGGGTCTCTCTGCCCTGGAGTGGGGCTCTCTGCCTTGGAGTGGGGCTCTCTGCCCTGGAGTGGGGCTCACTGCCCTGGTATGGAGCTCTCTGCCCTGGTATGGGGCTCTCTGCCCTGAAGTGGGGCTCACTGCCCTGGTATGGGGCTCTCTGCCTTGGAATGGGACTCTCTGCCCTGGAGTGGGGCTCACTGCCCTGGTATGGAGCTCTCTGCCCTGGAGTGGGGCTCTCTGCCCTGGTATGGGGCTCTCTGCCCTGGAGTGGGGCTCACTGCCCTGGTATGGGGCTCTCTGCCATGGAGTGGGGCTCTCTGCCCTGGTATGGGGCTCTCTGCCCTGGAGTGGGGCTCTCTGCACTGGAGTGGGGCTCTCTGCCCTGGGGTGGGGCTCTCTGCCAAGAAGTGGGACTCTCTGCCAAGAAGTGGGACTCCCTGCCAAGAAGTGGGACTCTCTGCCCTGGAGTGGGGATCTTTGACCTGGTGTGGGACTCTGCCCTGGAGTGGGGCTCTCTGCCCTGGAGTGGGGCTCTCTGCCCTGGCGTGGGGCTCTCCACCCCGATGTGGTCTCCACTTTGGCGGCCCCATTCTGTAGCCCTTCAGCCGTCTGGAAACATTGGATAACCCTTCAAAACAACCAAATCCATAGCTGATAAGAAAATTCCTTCACATTGCTTGAACTGTCCTGCCATGGAGCCGCATTGAACTAGTCTTTAGAGGCTCCCATAAACTTTAATTCTAAAAAACAATCACATTCCCTCCCAACAGCCATACTCTGCTCAGTTCCTCATCCGATCCATTCACAACAAGTACTTGGCTCTTCTCTACACTGAATTGCACATTGAATTCACTCCCAAACTCGGTCACACAGGCCAGCACACTTTGTAGTTTTACGCTATTTTCACTCATAATCGCAGCATCGTCAGCTAACAGAAGCGTTTTTAACCGTTCGCCGTCCTCAGCCCTACACGCACACCAGCGATAGATCAAATGCCCCCCCCCCCGTCTTTCCACCTAAGCTTCACCTGCACTTCGTCTACTTTTAACCCAAACTCTCTCCGATCTCGTGGTTGAACCATGCTCCCATCTATCCTTCGCTTAACTTCCTCTTCTCCCAGTGGTTGTGCTTCATGTGAAATTTTAGCAATAAAAGTACTTTGCTGCTCCATCGATCTATGATTTGTTGGACGGTGAACTAGCAAAGTAGCATTGGCTGGCGTGTATTGCCGAATGTTTGAAATGAATATTTAATCATTAACTGCAATTAAATGATTTTGAACGTAGCCAAAGAAGGTAGCCCTTTTTAACGGTGTTTCCGACGCTAATATGGAAAATGAAAGTTACTCAAATTTACTAAAAATAACACGTTTTACTTTGAAGAGACCGACAAAGAGACATTAACGGGGTCTATGGATGCTAAATATTCTCTCTGTTTGGGGCAGACACTACTTTTGTATACGAGATCAAATTACATTAATGGGCTAATTTGTCACTTATTTCATTCCACTAAATAAATAATTAGCGCTGTTGTTTACGTTAGAGCGCTGTTACAGCGCTAACAATTAGCGCTGTTGGTTATATTATATTATAACAAAACCAATAGAAGCTTTGTTTCTACTGGTTTTCTTTGTTTGTTTCGACATTCCAAGTCGGGATCTAATTCGCATTAGTTAAAATTTAGCTGGCCTAAGTTCACTTCCTGAAAAAAATAAACATCTTGCCGACGGGATAAATTCGTTTTCTTGATGTTCAAAATGTATACATAAACTAAAAACTTACATATTTTGAAGACACAAACCTATCATTTTTATGGATCATATACGAGTATGTTTCTTATCAAGCAGAAGTAATATAAGAAGAATGCTGGCTAGTGCAATAACAGCTGATAGAACCGAGATAAGAGACGCGCTGCAGCAGGCATTGGATATCGCTATATGAACCTTCAACTCTTCAGTCGATCAATTTCTTTTGTTCGGTGATCAGCTTCATCCATAGCTTCCACCAATTCCACCAATCACAAGTATCGCTCCTGCTCAAAAATCGTTGTGAACGAAAGTCTGTAAAGAAAAATTGAACTAAACAAATCCTTCATCTTTTTTTCACGAAAGTTGAACCATCACGAACAAAGTTGAACTTTAATGTTTTGAACCATCACTCTGGTACAGTGGACCAGAAACAATTTCTAAATATTCAATGTACGCGTAACTCATTCCAAGTTCAAATTTCATTAAATATTTAACTTTTTGGCAAGCATGGAAACTGAAATTGACGCTCTTTTTGCCACACGACAGCAGCAGACCCACTCGTCTGAGCGTTCCATGGATGTCGTGAAAGCTTTGTCTCAGAAGCTCAAATTAATGCCTTCAACTGTCGAGAAAAACCAAAATATGTATACCAATAGTGAGAAAATACCAAAAATTAAAATTCATCCTCCAGCTGCAATTTCCATTGAACTTTCCACAGAAGAATCGAAGAAAAGAGTCTTAGTTCAAGAAGTGTTCGAACACTGTGAAGCTCAGCAGACAAAAATGAACTGGATTCGAAAAGAACTATTTCAACTTAGAGAGCAAGACGAAGAAATTGCTCGTAAACTGTTATCCCTTAGACAAGAAATTATTTGTTTGCGTTTCAAGAAAACTTTGAACTCTCATGAGGATGTTTTAGATGACTTGGCAAATCATGTGTCGGAGAAAGAGATCAGAGCTCGTTCAACTTTATACGACTCAAGTGAAGATTTACCATTTTTTACACAATTGCCGCTGGCAGCGAGACTCACAAAATCAAATATCAGAGAAAGGAGATTCTCGTTTAGCTGAAATATTAAGCAAGAAATCATTAAAAACCTCGACGTATAGCTCGATATCGGTCGCGCGTCATCCTCGAGTATAAATAAATAGGTTTAATTAGTCTGCATATATATAGTGAGTAACCTGAGAATGACGTGATTCAATTTTCATCCTGGATAATTCTCTCATCTCACAGTTATTAGAGTGATACACCGCTGGTGCTATTTAAGTGTGAAATTTTAGTGTTAGCTGGTGCTATTTAAGTGTGGATTTTTAGTGTGGAAATTTGCGCAAATCAAAATTCTATTGAGATTGAAACCTGTAAACTTGCCCTTGTAACAATTTTTCCAGGACAAATATGAAAGTCTCTACTAAAATTTAGACTGTCTATAAATTATTCTGCTATGTGTGTTATCGAATTGGAATCTTCATTACACATCGATCCCCAAGTTCCCCCTTATGTCATATTTCAGTCTCCCTAAATATGGGACTGAAAACTTACCCCTACACGAAAACCAAAAATATATTGCACTCCAGGGATAACTAGAATTGTTCATTGCATCAATCGAAGTTGCATCACCTCCTTTGATTAACACATGCCATGCTCCAACCTCATGCCTTCTCTCATGATGCAATAGTTCCATCGTTAAATGATGACAGAAAAAAATCAATATTTCTTTGCAAAGAGATACGTCAAGCACGACAGTTACGTATGAGACCTGAAGCATCGCTCCCGGAGAGAAGAACTCGATCAGCATGGTTGAAGTAGTATTAGGTTGACCCATGAGAAGATAATTTTCGCGGATGGAGCTTGTTGTTCGCATGTGACGTCACTGATCTCAGTGACGTCACGGGCATTAACCAATCACCGAAATACGTTCAAACCAGTCAACCAATCCGTCATGGGAATGACGGGATTGTTTACGTCTCTCCATCTCAATGACGTAACAAGAAAGGTGAACTGAAAGGCGGAACTTCTCGTGGGTCAACCTTATATAGTTGAACCATGTCAATCAGTTTCCCCATTAAGTGATCATGAAACAAGGCGGCTCGCTTGAAGCGGGTTGGTAGTCGCAGCAGTACGCCGCGTGCGGGGCGCCACCTAGCATCGCAGCTGCGGCCCAGCGGACGCCTGTGGCTGCTCGACAATGTCTGGGTCATCTATCCCGTAATGTATAAACTTATATATAATATTTATATCCTCTTAAAATGTATTATGTTAAAATTGTGTATGAAATACGCTCAGTATTTCAAGAAATTATTTACTCAACTGACATATGTAAAGATAATTTGTCATTTTCCGGAGCAATTTCTATTAACACTGCAGGGGTTATCAAGTGCAAAAATTTCTCCGATCTATAGTGAATTAAAATATTTCAGGATGCAGAGTCACATGTGCATGCATTTCATATGACAAGTGATTCACTTATAATCTTCTGTCAGACCTGTCATACTGAACAGATTGCATTATCTCGACTGATAAAGTGAGCACCGTGCATATAAACATTTTCCCTACAGATTTTCGTAACAATACAAATGACTTGGGAGCTAAGAGCAACGCGAACAAACTATACGGGAGGCTGGAAGCGATGAGGATTATTTTATCGGTAAGTCAAAGGTATTATTGCATTTTATATTTTCGAACTCTTAAAAAAGGTAAATAGAATTACTTTCAACCGTATAATCAAACAGGGGAAAATATGATCAATTGATGCAGCGATTTCAATCAACACTTGATTATTAGCTTCAACGGACGGCACTAGGTATTGGGATGTGAGGTTATCAATCAACAACTTACATCGCGGCACATTCAACGAGATAAGAGTTTAACATAAAGATAGATCATGGAATTTTAAATGAGCTATTTAAAATTTAAAATGAGACAATTTAAAATGAGACAATTTAAAATTTTAAATGAGACATTTAAAATTTTAAATGAGACATTTAAAATTTTAAATGAGACAACGCGAAAAAAACATATTACAATATCTTCCTCGTAAATGGCGAAGTAAATTTTGCAAAAAACTATTGATATTTCAAATTAGTATACTCATAATCCATTGTCAAAGTATTTTAATTAATTGTTCCTTGTATACCGATATTTTGATACGAATCCTTTTCAATACAATATTTTGTATGCATTAAACTTTTTTCTCCATTAAACTGAAAGCAAGTTACTTTTATAGCAGAGCGATAAGAACGTAGAACGAATGAACTATTGTAGAATGTATATACAACAGTTGATGTTTTTGTATTTGTATACTTAGTGGCTTCATCGGCGTCTTGTGGCAGTTAGCGCCAATCCATCTTAATTCCAACTATAAGGACGGTGTCATTTAGAGGCGGTCATATCAGTGAAATAAACCCTTAAAATGATGAGAAGCGTCCGTACAGTCTACTGAATTTAGTACAAGTATTTAAATTAATTTCTTCATAATTTATTCGATTTCAGAAAAAATATTTTAAACTGTATAAAAAATAACACGAGTTCTAATGATGGATATGAGCCGTTGGAGCCTATTCAATCATTGTATGTAGTTAATACAACTCACATGTACGTGAGGAATCAAGGTTACTCAAAAATCCATTCGTGTATAGATACAAATAATTTCATAGTAAGACGAAGCAATAATTTATAATCCATCGCCTGAAATCTTCATCATAATGGCTGACTGATTCTATCAAGAAAATCATATTTATTCTCGTCACCTGATCTGAGCAGCTTTACATACATGTAATGCAGATTTCAAACCTGCCAGTTGGTAGAGACCTTAAGACCTTAAGGATGACTTACTAGACATTTCTCAGCTCCATATTAGTTAAGGTTTAAAAAATGAATAATACCACTGTTATCACAAAAATGAATAGAAAGATCACCCAAGAAATTGATTCAAACTAATAGACGTACATAGAAAGAGGCGGCTTCTACAATTACAAACAACGTTTCATAACTCAACAACTGCAGCTACATTGAGCATTACGTATTCATGGTGGAGTAAGCCAGCTTAGATGCTAACATCCACTTACTATCTGCAATGATAAACGAGATCACTCTGGGTAATTTTTTCATCTTATATACTGACATTGAACTCTTTTTCTTGCCACAGAACTTCATCAAGCTGACAATGGTGGGCAACATGGCCTCGTCGACACTAAAACACCACGTGAGGAAAACATCCTCAGCGACTTCCAGTCAAGTTTCTTTAGTAAATGACACCAGAGAAAAAGAACTCATGTAGTCGTCGTCCGGTGACGACAAGAATGGAGATTTAGATTCGTTGAAAAGTCAAGAATCCTAGCTCGTGGCTCCCAAATGTCGGGAAATTTAATCCTGATGTTAATGAAAATGACCATAAGTTTTTAAGCTTTTCCCCAGAACATCAGCCTATCAATAATCTTCATAGAATCATTCACTCAAATGCTGCGACCGAATTAACTTCAAATGATCTTGTTAATCTTTCAGTTTCTATGCTCCAGAGCGCTGAATTAGGGGACACTTTAATAAATAATTTCCCAGCTGACATACCACCATCAATCAATAGGACTGGCTTTAAAATGAGTGTCTAAAATTTCTGCAACGAATCAAAAAATCAAAACACTTCGTGATAACGAGTTTGACATTTCTTATGAAAAATTGAAAAATCGTTTTCTGAATTTATTCCAAGATGGCGGCTGGGATGTGACAAAATCCCCCATACTGATGACGGGTCCTCAGGTTCTAGTTACTGAACTGTACGACGTGAGCAATTATGTTACGGTAAAAGAGATTATGAATGTCTTTTATCTCACAGACTTTTATATTCAAAAAGATTTATTACAAGAGAAACCGAAATTCAAATGTTGGACTTGACAGCGAAGAAAGAATTAGCTGTCAGGCTGGTCTTTGATCAAGAAATTACACCCACCTTTTGAATACGAGGAAAACTCCTCAAGTGGCCAGCTTCTGAAAATAATTCGATGTTTTTTTTTCTCTGTCTTAACTTGGAATTACTGCAAGGGTAAGGAAGCAAATCAAACAATATTTAGCAGTGGATGAAGTCAAAAGTTACATGGAATGACTCATTACATCGGGCCCTCTTTATGCAAGTGCGCTTGCCTATTTACTGGACGTCATCTCAGACACAGATCTCGGGCAGAGAACAAGAAGATCACAAATCCTTCAGTTCGCTAAAAGAGTTCATTCAGGTGCTGTCGAGAGCGTCGGAAACTACGGAGGCTATGAAAGTAGTGATTACGGCTACGATGGTGGCTACGGTGATGGAGGTGGTGGCTACGGTTACATGCAACCATCATACCACCACATGGATCCGTATCTGCTGTTGGCCGGCCTTGGGGCGGCCACCCTTCTCGCCTACATCGCATACAGGGTCTTAGCGACCACCAGCGCGACGAGTAGAGGCCTCGCGGCTAAAGTGCTTCCTACTGAAGATGCAACGTTTATACATTCGGTTTTATCTGCCATTGAGCAATCTGGAGAGATCCATGACGACTTGCTGGGGATGCGAGAATAACTATTAAAGTTTTTCAACGATGTCAGTCGCATGCGTTCAGCATCAACGCGGAATCATTTTAATGTTGCAAGATGCATTTCGTGCGATTTCTCCCATTTTTCTGTTTTGTAACTTCATAGCGACAAGTCATGAAGTTATAAGTTATCGATCAATTTTTGAATGGTTTTCATTGAGCTGATAAGTAGTATAGTTTTATATTATTTTTTGAACTATACTTTAATTGATGGTTGAAATTTACAATGAAAAATAAAAATCTAAGCTAATAATTGTCTTTACACTCGTCTTACGTCCTAATTTAACTGATCACGAATAAACATTTGATGTTTATTGTTTGAATGGTGACCCATTCTTATGCTTACCGAGATCCCAGATATTGGAGATTAAATTAGCAAAGTATTTTGTTTAGTTTCGCCACAATTATGATGGAATGTCTTTGTGATGATGTTGGGTTCAATTGATTGATAAAAAGTTTTTCAAGAACAGTTTAGAATCGAGATCATAACTAGGTAGACTATTAACTACAGAGAGACTACATGCGAGAGACTCCTGCGAGAGGAGAAGGACTTTGTCTCTGCGGTGTCCCTACGAGGCTGACTGAGCTATTATAGGCTGCAGTACGCTATTCTCAGGACAGAGCGAAGTCCCTCTCCTCTCAGGAGTCTCTCTATAGTCTCTCAGTAGCTTGCTAGTCTACCTAGTTATGATCGCGATTCTAAACCGTTCTTGAAAAAATATAAAAACTTTTATCAATCAATTAAACCCAACATCATCATCACAGTCTTCATTGTTAAAAAGATCGAAAAATGTATAATCTAGTCCTCATTCTATTGACAATAGACGTATTAAAGTTTAAACAAAGTTTGAGTTACAAAAGCATCTAAACTGACTAGAATTACCTCAAATTTACCGATATAAGGGGAAAACCTCGAATTTTTTATTTTTTCTCCGAAACAACCAATGCAGTCATATTTTATTTGATGTTTTTGAGAAATATTCAACTTGAACAAAGAACGTTGTTACTCGGGTAATTCATACCACACTACCAATTGTAAAGTTTATACTACAAGTTCTTTAAAGATACGTTAATCTACCATCATCCTAAAATATTGACTTTGCAATTAAAAAATTAATGTAAAAGTTAATGAGATGAACGAACTTTATTTAATACGATGCTTAAATGGTCATTACTTACCCAACTTTGTCATTACTTTGAGGTCATTACTAACCCAACAAAAAACTTGTTGAACCTCTGAGCATTCGAATCCGAATAACGTCGCCCAAATACGTAACGTACGTAGTCAGTAATTAGATAAATACGTAGTAATTAGATAAATAGTAGTAGTAGTAGTAATTAGATAAATAGTAGTAGTAGTAGTAATTAGATAAATAAACTTCTTACACACCCACGATATTAAAGTTTGGTCCTTAACTTTGTGTCGCTCACTTACCAAGCCACTGAACAAATGAAGCTGGAAATTAAAATTCTTTTCCATAGCAACGAAAAATAAATAGATCAGATTTTCAAACAAAATTTATGTTTGAAAGGAAACAAAAAAATTGAAACAAAGAAGCCTTCTAAAATACATTTTATTATTAAAAACCATTTACAGATAATACATTGCACTACCAGGATGCGATGAACAAGATAGGAGGCAACAGGGGGAAGGGTCATCCATCATTTAACCCACCAAGAGACCACGCTTCCGATGCAAATTTCCTCTAGAAAAAAAAACAATAAAAAATATCCATCCTCTTGTCCCGACGAACTAGAATACGAGAAAAAAGTTTGGATCGTTGATTTTCAGTTTTGTGACGCTATACATCTTAAAGTTCTTTCACCAGTTGTTGAGCATATGAAGTTTGGCAGATACCTAAGCCGCTGATGTAAATGTCGACGCTTGGAAATTCCCAGAAAACGTCCAGCATTGTTCGTTAAACAATCACGGAGTATTCGGAGATAGAAATGACATAACCGTTCTGATACGTTTATAAAACAGGAAAAGTAAGTTATGATTGCAACTTAAATAATCATTGAATTACCGGAGTACCTACGTAGCGAGCAAACCGTGAGTAGAACATAACTGAGACGTAAGAATGGATAAAGTTAATTTGCATGAGGCCAAATAACTTGGAAACGTCACTGATTACTTTGTGCAGTTCCAAGCTGTTGCATTGATAATACTCGATGAGCTGTACATACAATTGTACTCGCATTGAAGATGGACGTCATTATCATGGAGCTACCAGGAACAAAATCATATTTTCATGAATAATGATCAAAAAACCGGAACGTTGTCTTCACTACCCCACAATCGTCTAATAAAATCACTGTTAAAACTGTACAAAGAGAAACAACAAAGTTTAATATCAACACATAACCATCAGAAAACACGTAGTTAATTATAATTTGTACAAGAATATTTATTATGATTTACCCTAATAAATGAAAGATTTTAGTCATTAGACCACGTTGAACAATTAGACGAAGAGACTATATAATATCATTCACGAAGTTAGACATTACCTCATAAAACAAGATATGTAACTAGTTGTATTTCAATAACCTAACTTTTCACTATTTTTCATTTTAGAATAGACAATTAATGAAAACTTAAAACTCTGCCATGGAGTATTGCAGAAATTAATTCATGAATTAAATATTTCCGCGACATATTCTGGAGTACTGACAACACTCGCTCACTGACACTCGAAAGGCGATAGACAAGTTTTTTGATTTTCAATTCTTATTGAAAATATACATTCAAAGTGAAACATTTTCTTTCTACATACAGTTATCTATAACGGAGGTATCGACGGCTAAAAAATGTTTTTCCTATCGTAATTGATCACTGACGGGCACTAATACTATTGAAAAGGTTAAATTCATAGGGAAAAGTGCGAATACAATGGAACAATATAATAGCCAATGAAGTATATATTCTGCACATTGGGCTATAATACTGGACTATTACTGAAGACTAACACTTCATTCAGCACCGTACATACTGAAGAAATTTACACTCATATTACTTGAAACTCTAACTATTCGAAAATTTCAAGGAATTGAGGACATACGAAAGAATTCCTAGATAAAATTAGTAACTATGCAATATAGTTAATCTGTCATTGACTAGACCGTGTTAATTTACAAACATTTACAAACTCCTATGAGATTTGCAGACTCAAACAACACCTTGTCTCGTCCGCATTATCTTGGCAGTGATGACACGTTTGTCGGTTCACAGGCACAGAGCTGACATTCTACTGGTCATGCAATAGTGCGAGCTCAAACAATACGTTCGTGAAACCAGTATTGTGCCTTTAATTTGATGCTCCCAAGAATTTCGACATTGATTTTATGACTCCTTTGGCACCCGCGTGGTTCGCTTCAACGTAGAAATAGTGTAAGTTGGAATAAAAAACGGAACAATTAAGTTCGTCCTTCATTCGAAAAATTGTATACCTGTTAGTTCTTTTCGTTCGTAAATCGTAATTGTTCCATTCATTTATGAGTTGAAGTTGAAGAGAATTTCCACTTATACCACGCATGTTAGATAGAAGGGTGAGCATCAAGTCAATAGAAGCTTGAGCATTAATTTTGAAATACCAAATCCTGTAGAATTTTGAGGAAGGAACGAATTGGGAATTTGTTTCAAAGCATTTCCTCCACTTGCGATAATATCATTCATTATGAACTAGTTTTATATAAATATGTGAGCACAGTCAAATGATCTTATCTAACTCAGATGGTTAGCTAACACAACGTGAATTTTCTAAGGTGAATTTAACGCAGAAACTCAAACTATTCCTAGTATTTAACTCCTCGGGTACTAGACACGAATATCTCGCTAGCTTTGAACCAGACTAGTAGGAAGAAATGAAAGCGCGCATGCACCGACGCAAATGCATGTATCCACTTTGAATAATTAATGGGTCATCTACTCCAAATAGTAACACAATTTCTGCACTAAAACGCTCTATATAGGGCAAAAGTGGGTCAGGATGTCCCACATATAGACAGAAACTGCATTGTTATTTGGAAAAAGTATCCTCATTTCTGTGAGTGTAATGTCAACGGTGGGAACCAGTCATTCAACAAGATTTCCTAGTCGAAAACTAGTTGGTTTCTAGAACAGACTTTACAAAGAATACTTAGCTCTACAACGCAAAATATGTATAATCTAATCATCACAGACGATATTCATTATGAATGAATTTTGTGCAAGAGATAATTAAAAATCTAGCAAAATGAGAATCGAAATTTGGGCTCACATCAGATGTTTAGTTAATGTTTCCCTGCAATCGCACTATATACATTAATTCATTACAATTACGATAATACTGAATCGGTTTGGCTAAAATGCTATAGGCAATGCGACCCAGCATGCGATCGAGTATCCTATGAAATAATTTTTGTTCGTTACAAAAATTCAATCGAAAAATTTCAATTCGCTAAAATGTAGTCATATATCGAGCCCACCAATTTTTACCGCAGGAATAATATGATTATTCACATTTCGACAATGTGTCCTACGTTAAAAATAATTTTGAAGTAACAATCACATTGCAAAGATGCCCAGGTGTATTTACTTATAGAAACTCGATGAATCCATGTGACAGAAATGCAGATTGAGCACAAGTCTCTGAAGAGCTGAAGTCGCTTCACTGAAACTACAATTAAGCGTCATCTCAAGCCTGTTGTTATTGACACTCTTTAAATATTTTATAAATGTTAAGCACACGTAACTTATTTCATATGATCATCCTGCAGATACTGAAAATAATTAAACCACTATTGTGAGTAATCATGGACACTTCTAACCGATATAAAAATTATACATCTACTCTCACATCATAAGCGAAAGATTCTAAACCTAAAACTAATTTAATACTGAGGAAATTTCGCTACCAACATTTGACAGGCGAACAAGATGAACAGATGGCAACTGCTCAAACTATTCACCGCCCAGTGTCAGTATCATTTACTAACAACATGACTTGCCCAACACTAAAAAAAAAAGCCGTGGATTATGCCAGATTATCGTGTCTAGATATAAGTAAAGCAGCTACATTGCAGCTACCACTAGGCAATTTTTGATAAGCTCTAGTACACATGACCGCGACACAGTCACGTGTCGTAATCGTAACCAAACTACAGGAGAACTTGGCTACATTCTCAGCACTGCACGGGCAAAAATTGAGAACTGTGCCTTGTGCTTGCATTTCTGTAATCAGACTTAATACTCACTCAGAGGGAACAAATTTGAAGAGAATAATTGCCTTTTCAGTTAATAATCGGTCTGAATGTGTTTTGTTAAAATACACATGAGTTCAATTATACAGCAAGTTTGGGTGCACCTTGTCATACCAGCATTGAACGGAAACTTATATAATTTCGCTCCACGTTTGTGAGATCACAACAAAGATTTTAGGCTCTATCTGAATTTTCCAAAAAATGTTATTCACAAGTTCCCATATTGTGTCCTGTACATCCTAACTTCCAATCATCAGGTGTCCTTCCTTCTATTCCGAAGATGAGCGGCCAATATTTAATCTCTTTTGATTCAATAATTCATTAATTATTAGATACAATAGTCCGTAAAAAATCATCATGCCGTAATTGGACGCCTGATTATATTCACACGTCAACATTTAGAATAAATATTTAATCAAGTATGAATATTTAAATATTTATATTTAAATATTAATAAAAATAAATATTTAAATATTAACATGTAAATATTTAAATATTTAATCAAGTACAATGAGTATTTGTGTCAAGGTTCCCACTTGAGATATACATCGTCCAAACACAAACTAAATATTACGATGGTGAGAAAGTTACCAAGTATTTCATGAAAATAATCATCAGAACAATTTTTGACGAATTCAAATAATATTGTTAATAATATTGAAATATTGCTAATAATATTTCAACAATATTGAAAAATCAATAATAATATTTCAAGATTGTAAATAATATGGAATTGAATAAGAGGTCACAATTACTGTATAGGTCGCGCGGCAATCGCTGACAATTGAACACCAGCGATCAATATTGCTATCGTTATTAACATATGAGCGCCGGAGCATGAGAAGGGCCATCGCTTCAACACCTTACATCTCCCAGCTCATGTGTAGACGACGAGGGTCCGTTCGATCGGTAGAGTTGCTGCACATATCACGTCAATACTCAGTAATGAGATCGATAAAGCTATGCTAGTAATCATCTATTATAACATTCAAAACGAGAGAGAAGAATCAAACCTAAACATTATTTATAAAATTAGAGCATTTCTTCGTCGGAGCATTTCTTTCATTAGAGCATTTCTTATTCGAATGAATAAGAAGAAGAGGAATAAAATCATTTTATGTAAAGAGCAAGGCATTAATCTCGTCTTAACCAATAAAAAATTTTTTAAAACAAAATACAATATTCTTGAAGGATTGCAAAATAGTAATTTACAGTCCTACGAGACCTCATTGGTTTCTAGTTGAACAGTGGGCATCGTAGGTTTTTGTTAATAAAAATCCCGTCTGAAATTAAACTTTGCAAAAAACATTCAATATTAGATCATGAAATGGATTTATTCCAACTCTATAAGAAGAGGAAATTTTTCCTAAGGTCAATACATTTCAATTCATATTTCATTCTAAGTTTTTGAAAGCTCAAAATTAAATGGTTGGGCGAAACAGACATGACATAAAAATATTTCGAACTGCACTACAACAAAGATGTCAAAAGCGTCTTCTTATAGTCAGCACATTCATGATTTTAAAATACACATTCGAGAAATATAAATAACTACAGTATAATGCGTCGAATATATCGCGTGCTTCATGCTACAGACGTGCAACATAGTACAGTAAAAGCGAACAGTTATGTTCCATACTCTGTTAACATCGTGACAGGAATAAGCGAGCAAAAATATGTGGACAATATGGAACCAATCAATTTCAATTTCTATTGAGGAATTTAATTAATTTTACGTCCAGTCGATCACCCATAGTGACCTATTACTCGTAAATAATTGTTAGTAGTAGCACTCAGTCATTCACAATTGTAACACAGCCTTTTGATCGAAAGAGAAATACTCATTAATAAGACTTCTATTTGTCATCTAAGTGAAATTATAATTTAACTTATGCAGGTATCGTAAAATTCAATGAACAAAACAATATTTGCACATTAGCTTTGAACCAAAAAAAGATTTGAAAGAGGACGTGAATATATCAATTCAAAAAGGCGTACGTATAAAATGGTGACTCATCGAACTTGCACTATTTTGTGCCAACTAAGAATCACTAAGAAATAAAAATGATAACAGTTCAGATCATTAAATTATGTTTACTTATTTTTGCAGCAAATACCTTCCAGTTATCATATCGAGTATTAAATGAAAATTTACTTGTTCCACAGCTACGGCCACGTTTTTATTCGGTTAATTGTGAAAGTCTTGAAATAATTGCGTATCAAATATCGAACAGACTTTATGAAATTTCACAGTACTTGAAGAATAGCAATTTTCACAGCGAGTTATAACATCGAGAAGAATATATGGAATTTCCCAGCAAGCAAATTTTATGCTGGGGCACAAAAATGTTTTCCATATCTCATTTTATTGAAAAAAACGCGAGTTAATAACATCAACTATCCTTATATTTGTAAGTGTAAGTAGGCATAGCAGTTCATATACAGATTAAACGAAAATGTGTTGACTAGCACAAATACTAGGTAACCGTCATTTTTTGACCAAAAGATCTCATCAGTTTTGCATGGCACGGCAACAAGTGCAAACAGCAAGCAGGCCGCAAACATTAATTAAAACAACACATCAGAAACGCTATGGCCTTTTAGTTCATAAAATTAAACTTAGAGTTCGTTATATATTGGAAGTTGTTATCAACACGAACCCGACTCGTATTTCTACCATTGTAAAACACGAAACCAATAATAAACTAGCTGCTTGCCTTAACACTGAAATTAAAAATATATATATTTCAGCACTAAAATGTGTGACCTTTCAGAGATCATTTATTCCAGCCCATAATGATTCCGATTTAGTTTAACAACCGATCAAATTGATTAATCTAGCGGTCGGAGAACCCCGAAACCTCTTTGAGTTCTGCCTGACTGGTCGCCGAAAATAACAAGTGGTTTCCATAAAAACTTTTCGTGATGGCAGTTCACAAGAAAACAATATAACAAATGAAACTAACTTAGGTTTCTTTATTTATAATTGTAAGAATCAATCTTAATTTTAAGATACAGGAGTTGGATGAAATAAGGGAAACAACTCATATTTTGATATCGTAATTTTTGAACAATTTATAAACAGTAAAAACGTGACATATTTTTCTGTATTATTTGTTAATTGTTGCTGCTAATTGATATTTTATCCTTGCACAGATATTTTTAGTAAATTTGTATGTCAATAACCTCACCTATAACCGATATATGACAAACCTCCAATGACTTTCAAAGGGGCCCAATTGCGGGTGCCCGTATGGCAGGTGCTAGTGAAACAGAAACTTTCCGAGTGCATGACGTTTCTAAAGGAACTGTCCCAAAGGAAATGACTGCTTTTGAAAGAGAAGGAAAAACGTCCTCAGCAAAGCACAGGTCTGGCCGAAAGTCGAAATTGTCCGAAAGAGACCGCCGGTAAATAAAACAAATTGTGAGGGCCAATCGGAAGACCACAGCTGTTAAATATACTGCAGACCTCAATGGACACGTACAGAACCCAGTTTCCATAAAGACTGTCCGCTGAGAGCTGCACAGACCTGGATTCTATGGAAGATTTGCAATTAGAAAATCTCTGCTTTCAAATACAAATGCTTCAAAGCGTTTAGAGTGGTGTAAAAACCTTTAGAATTGGTACCTCGAGCAGTGGAAAAATGTGATTTTCTCCGACGAATTATCGTTTACCATTTTCCGACCTCTGGCCGAGTTTACGTCAAACAGACGCTCCTACGAGTACCTAGATATAGAAATGATGAAGCTGTTGTTCACCTCTGTCGTGCGCCCGAACCTAGAGTTTGGAAACGTTGTGTGGTCACCGAGACTTGAAAAGGACAAAAATTTAGTTGAGAGTGTTCAAAGACGTGCAACAAGGATAATTCCAGGCTTAAAGGGCAAGTCTTATGAAGAAAGATTAAAGATTCTGAAGCTTCCCAGTCTCCGTTATCGTTGCCTGCGTCGTGACCTCATTGAAGTATACAAGTATACTCATGGTTTGTACAAGGTCCCAGAAGGATTACTAGAATTTGAAACAAGAACCAACACTAGGGACCACAGCTACAAACTAAAATAAACTGCGGTGCAACTTATCCACGCGACAACATTTCTTCTCGCTTCGAGTCACCGACATGTGGAACAGCCTCCCTGGAGATATTGTTGACGCTCCGAGTATGAACGCGTTCAAGAACAGACTAGACCAGGCCATGCATGAGCATATGTTTAGTCTTAAAATGCCTCGTATCCTACCGAACAACTGAAATCTAGAAGCGATTTTAAAATTGCCGTCCGTTGAAAAGATTTGATCAAAAGGCCAGTCTGGTCAAGAAAAGTACAAGAATCAGCGACAAGCCTACCCAGGCCTATTCTTCAATGCCGAAGATACTATACTACACTATACTAAAAGAGTCATTTAATCCCAACTGCCTCCTCCCTACCGTAAAACATGGCGAGGGTTTTGTGATGATCTTGGGTTTTATTTCTCGGAAATACGGCGGACCAATGATTTCTCTTCATGGGAGAATCAGCAGCTCTGACTATTTAGCAAGTTTGGAGGACCAAGTTCATCCAATGGTTCTAGCACTTTTTCCGTAGGGGAACGCCATCTTTCAAGATGATAATGCCTCGATCCATACAGCTTGAATTGTTTAAAAATAGCACGAGGAACATTCTAATGAAGTATACGGCGGACCAATGATTTCTCTTCATGGGAGAATCAGCAGCTCTGACTATTTAGCAAGTTTGGAGGACCAAGTTCATCCAATGGTTCTAGCACTGTTTCCGTAGGGGAACGCCATCTTTCAAGATGATAATGCCTCGATCCATACAGCTTGAATTGTTTAAAAATAGCACGAGGAACATTCTAATGAAGTTGGCCACCACAATCATCAGACCTGAATATTATCAAGCATTTATGGTCGATTTTAGAGATGCAAGTCAGGAATCGATTCCAGCCGCCATCGTCTTTAAAAGAGCTGCAAGGAGTTTTATATGAAAAATGAGTTAAAAGTCCTTTGGAAAAAATTCACAATTTGTATGAATCAATACCTCGGAGAATCGAGGCCATAATTGCCGCATAAGATGAACCTACACCATACCAAAATATATTTTGCGGATTTTTCAGGTGTTTCCCTTATTTTGTCTAACCCCTGTTTGATTGTACAATTACTATAAGCCTGCTTTCTAAAATTAAGCTACAGTGCAGACAACAGCGTGATACACAAAAAGCTACAGTGAAGCGAAATTACGCTAGCAACTGCCAAATAAATGTTTAAATATAACAAATCCGAGCAGAAAAAAATTTCAGAAGCACCCACATTATAATCATGCATTCTTCAGTGAAATTCATCGACAAATCAGGTGATCAACATTTTACGACTATTTCATTTTCAACAAAAATAGCCGATGTCAGTAGGGAAAATATGTCAAGTAAACACGCTAATTCATCGATAAACTTCGACATTTCCAGTGCTAATTGAAACGATATACCGTTTAAGCACAATCAGTCTCTTGAAGTAGACATTAGACAACATATCCCTTGATATCAGTCAACAACTTTGTACATAATATCTTTTGAGATCACTATGTGCATTACAATCATCCACTTAATACCTAAACTTCAACATGACACTGAGATTTGGAGTGCGAAAAGGTATTCATAGAAAATCAGATTTGTACTCACAGGAATAAATAGTCCCGAAATTCCTAACCGAGCTTTCGCACAAATTACATTGCGCCGCACACGCGTGAATTTGTTACCTGACAAGCTGAGGCCGGTACAGCCTCGTTGCATTTAACACCGGATCTTTTTTTCTAGATCAACTAGGTTAAAATCAAGATGGGTGCTCTATTGCCAAAATTTCAAAAGGAATAAAGTGAACCTCAGGACCTCAGTGCGAGTATATAATTTAATAATGTTCGGGAAAAATAAGATTCTAAATCTATATCGGAATCCCGACGTAGAATATGGCTTCGATTTCGGAAAAAATGTATAAATGGTAAACCTGATGCTGCAATGTCAGTCATATGCATAAAGATATCTCGGTATTATTACTACTACATTTGAATATTTTTCAGACGCACCCATCTTGCGTTCACCGCAATAATAAAATATGAACAAGAAAGCAAAAAACGAGAAGCATGTTGACCCTTACTCTAGCAGGAAACGTACCCTCGGCGGGCGATGCAGAGTTGCGGCCCTCTGCTGCTGGTTGTTCATAACCCCATCAGGCATGTCCCCTTCCTGCTGTGATCTGCCGCGCCCCGGCTGCCCAGGGTGGGCCTCGCGACGCTGGGGGCGCGGCAGCGACCTGAACTGCTGGGGAGGTGATGGTGGGGTGCTTGGGTACTCTGTAATAGTGAAGCGTAATCAATCAAACATTATTTGAAGTAAGTAACTAATTAAATCAGTAGGTTAAATTATTTTATTTCGAAAAATTAAAGCAAAACTTATTTAAAATAGAATTAGAACACATTTTTCTGCTTTTTTTACAGTTGACAGGCTTTAGGGAAGAGTTCATACAAACACACACGCCACTACTACCATATCTACTGCGGTCAGAGCCGAGATTATGAACGTTGTGGCCCCGTGCTTATAATGCCCTTAGTGGAATGCCGTCGAGCACAAGTGACATCACTAACCCTGCCCTGGCCTGAAGTATCACTAACCCTGCCCTGGCCTGAAGTATCACTAACCCTGCCCTGGCCTGAAGTATCACTAACCCTGCCCTGGCCTGAAGTCTGAAGAGTGTGAGTGCGGGTACGGGTAGTCAGGACAGCCACGGATCTCAGGCGGCAGAGGCGGCCAGTCAGGGAAGGATGCGGCGCCCCCGACGCTGCTGGTGGTGGTGCCGGGGGTCGTGGTGAGCTCTACTTCGTGGCCGCCACTCGAGCTGCACAAACCCAAGTGTATCGTGCATACGGGGTTATATTTTAGTTACTTTTGTTGTCATGCATCTTATATCTGCAGCTGTAAGAATGCTTCAAAACTGCATCCTAATTAGTGAAAAAACTGTGCGTGCCATCCGCGCGGAAAATTATTTTATTTATCCATTCATGTAATTGGATTTAACAATCTTTTTCTGGTAATAGAAAAATTGTTTGAATAATACATCAGAATTCAAAACTCAGTTTATTCGGTATTGTTTTTTCACTGTAATTGCAATGATGGATAGTAACCTGTAGTAGCCGCTGCCGCTGGTATTGATGGGCGTTGGTTTGATGACGAACACGACGACGCCGGTCACTACCAGCAGGTATGACAGGAAGTACAGAGGATGGAACTGCTGCTCCAGCCGCCATAAATAAAGCAATTATCAGCAAACTCAACAATTTGGGTCTCAACACTTTTTTTGTAATATACAAGGTTGATTTTCACTTTAAAAGAGGCACCGCGGAGCAGATTCTGCTTAGGTTCGAAGGGTACAATTCGAATGAGTTCACCGAAATTAGTTACTGTGAGTTTAGTGCTGAGAATTTGCAGTTACAACTGATTTACAATTGTTTCATAAATTCGAGATTCAAATAAAAATTCATGAAATTAAACAACAATATCATATATTGACAATTTAAATTAAAATACGAATTCGAAGCTCAATGCACCATAAACAATATAAAATTGCCTCGGAAACAATCCTCAGTAGAGAGATTGTTTGCAACTATCAATCAACAAACGTTATTGACCTCTTAAGTATCATTAAACTATAACGACAGACACAAGCGAAGTCCTCACAATAAGGTTAATATTTCTTACCTTGAAGCCGAAGAGAGCGATGCCAGTGATGAGGATGTAGAAGTCAGCGGTGAAGAGCGCCAGGTTGAGGGCGGTGGCTGAGGTCGCCCTCAGAACGCACGGAGCGATCACGTAGAAGAGGAACTGAGCTGCGCTGAAGCCTCCCACCAGCGCCAGTACCGGCCAAGTGTCCCACCGCACCGACCCCACCTGCTGCCTCTCCAAAATGCCTCTGTGGGGGCGATTAATCATTGATCTTGCGACGGTAACTCTAGTTACCAGAAGCACGAGCACGAATAGCAATGACGACAACGGATTTGACATAAAACATTTTTTAAGGAGTTCGATCTTTTCGGTCACAATAATTCACGTTTCCGAATCACGGAAAATTTCAACAATGCGGCTTCGGTTCTTTACGATTTGACTCCAAGACCCATGTCTGAATATATTTTCTCATGTTCATTTGCACGTGAACATCGTGTCTTGACTTGATAAACGAGCAGACTTGACAAGATTTGACCCAAATGAGGCGTGAATCTGCAGTGTTTGGCTCATAGATGCAATAGAAGGCGTAGGATTGGTTTTATGACTCACAGCTGTTGATGTAATCACGGCAGTTGATGTACTCACAGCTGTTGATGTACTCACAGCTGTTGATGTACTCACAGCTGTTGATGTACTCACGGCTGTTGATGTACTCACAGCTGTTGATGTACTCACAGCTGTTGATCTGTCTCTTATACACATCTAGATGTGTATAAGAGACAGGCTGTTGATGTACACACAGCTGTTGATGTACTCACAGCTGTTGATGTACTCACAGCTGAGCCCCGTTGATGACAGAGCCGAAGAGCCCCATCATGCCCAGGAACTCGACGCTGTCGTAAGTTTTGATGACGTACTCCTGGGCCACGTTGCTGATGCCGTACAGCGTCGCGCCGCCCAGGCACAACATGTCACCCAGAAAGCGCTCCGAGGCTGTTCAATTATATCGTTTTTAAACCCAGTCTAAAAATCATGAATTTTCACACGTCACAAAAAATTATCGTCGTCTTACACCTGAAAGCTTTCATTCTGATGGAATTGGAAAGTTTAAAATTTTTTCGTATAACTCAATAAATTTTTGGAGCATTTTTTACCCTTTTTGAATCCCCAACAAAAGTGTCTTTAGTGACATGATGACGAGATTTTTTGGCATTAAGAAAATTGGACAGGCATTGCCACGCAGTAACTGACTTTTGTTTCTTTGTTAGCGAGTGAAACGATTTTTTTGGTGCGTGCGACGAGGTCCACAGGGCCAAACATGAGAGGAACAGGACAGCGCGCTGGGAAAAACACCTTATATTTGTGATACGTAAATTAGTCCTCACGAGAATTGATGGAACAGAAGATATCGTGAGCTCTCTGCCATGCGGAATGCAAGGAGCTTTAAGATTTACGGTTCAACCACAGTGCGTTAAGATTACTTGGCAACACATATCAGGTATTTAATAAAATTCTATAGCAGAGAAAGAGAAAAAATAAGCTTTGTTAAATAAAATCATTTAAGAGACAAGATCCTCGCTGGCCCTCAGACGGAACAGGTATCTGAAATGTTTTCATTAAAATGCATTAAACTTAATGATTACCGGATATACACGTTTCAAACTGCACAGCGATTACAGAATAACTTTTCTGTCGATATCATCCATGATAAAATAAAAAGTCTGGATTAATGAGCAATTAAAAGATCATAACTTGCTTTCATATATTAATATGAAACCCTTCGACTTAATTTTTTCTAATAATTCTAACAAATGTGACATCATTAAACACATGAAATAAGCTTGCAACATTTCCATAACACCTAAATTAGTTTTCTACGCGAATAAAGTATTTAGGATCTAAGTAATTGTCAATTGGCATTCAGAAACGAGCGTCAAATGTAAACTGCTTTCCCCAAAACATGGCCCGCAGTGCACGCAAGCCGCTCAATGAGGCTCATATTTTTGCCCAGTAAATGACCTGGCCAGGAATTAATTTTTGAAGCTCGCCATAAAATGCGGACAGGCGCTTAGTCGCATTAAGCCTCGTCGCGCCTATAATGCCGTAAAAGTTACAAAGAAAACGAAGAATCAGCGAATATTGCGCAAACATTTTTATGACCTGATCAGTCAGGGACAATCTCGACGCTCGTTTTCCACAAAAGTTTACCATTATCATGCTCTAAAAGGCGAAAGTTAAAACTAATGGACGAATTAACATTTCCTGCTGACAAATGGAGGGCGTCGTCAAATCAAGTTGCTAATTGGGCATCAATTGGCCATCTTATTTAACATGTATGCAGATCATATTGTTAATCTCTGCTAGTTATGAAACAATGACAGTTTTTCGCCCGTAGAGTGACATTTTTGCATTTACAATAAAAAATTTCAATTACCTGACACAATAAATTTCACAGTTGAAAATATTTATATTTTGATACTTTTGTGCTGTTTGTATTTGTGTTTTATCACACATCGATATAAACATGCATTACAAACTTTATCATGACAGTCCATCATGACATGACGAGTACCCAAAACTTGCAATATCAACACGGTACTCGGATCGCGGTAAGACCGGTACTCGGTGTACCACAAACTAGAGGGTTCATAGTCTATAGGTAACTTGACAATTTCCCATATGTTTAGTGAGTAATTTAATTAAACAACATACATCAACTGAGAAAACAATAATGAAAGGGATATCATGCGAATTGTGCCAAGGAAAACTTGTTAAAAACTTTATATTTAGAAACACTGCTCTAGGTAAAACATTTTACCGTAACTGTCTGCCTAGCCGTTCTCGTTAACTACATACATCAACCATGAGAACGTTAGTGAAATGAATATTATGGGTATAATGGCATGTTTAATTTGTTAACAAAATTAATCAAATAAATGAATATATCTTGATGTCACTGCACTAGTTAAAACCACTCACTGCACTAGTTAAAACCACTGCTCTAAGAGGAACAATTTTACCGTGACTGTCTGCCCTGCCGTTCTCGTTAACTACACATATCAACGATGAGAACATCAGTAAAATGGATATTATGGGTATAGTGGCATGTTTATTGTGGCAGGCTAAATTGTTCACAAAATTAATAAAAAAATGAATATAACTTGATGTGACTGCACTAGTTGGAACCACTGCTCTAAGAGGAACAATTTACCGTGACTGTCAGCCTTGCCGTCCTCGACGTTGGCCCACACAAGACAGCCCACGCCCAGAAGACAGAGCCCGACGCCGAGCACGTGTACAAGTTTGTAGCGAACCTTCAGGAAGAGCCATGACAGCGCCAGCACCACCGGCACCACGAAACAGTCCAGCAACTGACATATAATATAATATAATATAATTTAATATAAACTTACCACATAATCTTACCACGTAAACGCAATAATCAATTTAACAAAGTTATGCAGTAATAGTGTAATACCTAATGTTTTTAAGTACCTTTCTGATGAAAGTACCTTGTTGCCTTTTAATTTACCTCAACATTTACCACTATTGTAGAATCAATGCTGTTAAGTTTATAATGCCATCAACAATTAATAAGCTGTCCAAAAAATTTTTCGTGCAGTTGGCACCGAAGATAGGATTAGTGCATTTCCATTAATGGAATTTGTAGTTTTGCAAATCACAATTTTTTATTAGCTTATTTGTCAGTACCCTTATAAAGATACTTGACAAGTCCTTTACCAATCTCTTACTTTCACTTTCAACTCTGACCTAAACATAAATGTTCAATCATCCGATTATCAATTGCTATTGACTACTGACTAGACTAGTAAATGCTAAATAAATTGAATCAACAAATGAATGAATTAATCATCAACTGATGCAACATACCTGGACCGAGGTGACGGAAGTGTACTGGTATGAAAATGTCCAATAAATTGAATTAATAAATTAATGAATTAATCATCAACTGAGGCAACATGCCTGGACCGAGGTGACGGAAGTGTACTGGTATGAAAATGTCCAATAAATTGAATTAATAAATGAATGAATTAATCATCAACTGAGGCAACAAACCTGGACCGAGGTGACGGAAGTGTACTGGTATGCCCTGAGCACGAGGTAGTTTGCCTCCACATCAATGGCTGCAAGGATAAAGTATTTGTAACCCCGCGCCCTGACCACACTCAGGAGCGAACCTTCCCCTGCCCGACACGCCAGCCACGTCGTGTACACCAGGCACAGCAGCGCGTAGTTGATGAAACCCACCGCTGGAAGAAAAAGTTGTAATTGCGTATTATTATGATTATTTATAACTAAATTCAACATCAAGCGGAGTAGCGTACGGGCTAAAAATGTGTAGTCAGTAATAAAATAGTACCTAGTTAAATTATACAGCCAACATTACGTAGTACGAGGCGTGTTTTCAAACTACGTAACGTTTTGACATAGAAAAGTATAGTTTCCCAATAAAATGATTTAAACAGGAAAGAATTTATTAATTTAGATTTTAAAAATTGGCAGGCAACTGAAGAATTATTAGTTTAATCACTCTCCAATGAAATTAATATTGCCTTTTTATCAGTAGTAGATGCCAATAGACCAGACTTATTGCTGTCTAATAAGGACAAAACGCGTAATTTTTGCTTTTAATTTTACAAAAAATTTGTCACTGTCATCATTTTGAACGGCGTAACCTCAACCCTCGCGTTCATACAGCCACAGTCAGGAAGCCGGTAAACGTTCATGGCGCCATGAAGCGCTCTCAACAACTCCAGTAATCAACTTGGCGGCAGCTTTTCGAGTCTCTACTTCACCATTGGGAGTCCTAAATAAATAAAAACCCAAGGATTCGTCGAGTTGGCACTCTTCTCAACTCCCCGTTGACCGCCGCTAAAGTTAAAGGCTTCGGCCAAGCGAGTAAATCCAAATTGCTGATCGAAGGCAAGTGCAAGACTTGAGCTCCTTAGGTCGCTTCGAAAATCCTATTCCCGAGAAGAAGGCAAGATAATTCCTTGGCAGAAAGCGATGAAACCTTCAAAGACCCATGCTTTGCTTTTGGTGGAATTGAAAGCCTTCAACTTGCATTTTACGCCTTTGCACTAATAGATTTTATTAAAAGAAATTAGAAAATGGAACAGAACTTAACAGAAATTAAGTTAATTGAACAGAACAGAAAAATTTATGTTGATTACTGAACTCAATTTGAAAATTAAACGACTTGAAATTTTTAGATACTTAGAGTGACCTACGATTGATTCATCAGTGGCTACAAATGTTACGTTAAAACGCCAGGACTAGAGTTAAACTAAATTTTTATCCCAGCAATAGCTACCCAAGTTGTAGATTATTCTCGAGTACATGGCACATCTGCTTCTTTTTGTCGCTTGAAGGGTAAAAAAATACAAACTTTTTGGCAGCAAGCCCAGCACGTTGAATGGTTTTTCCAAGGAAAATACCGAGATGCAATGTACGAACCGTGTTACCGTTATGCATGGCGCTTAAATAAATGTACGAACTGTACTATATGTACGAACTGTGTTACCGTTATGCACGGCACTTAAATAAATGTACGAACTGTACTATGTACGAACTGTTTTACCGTTATGCACGGCGCTTAAATGAATGTACGAACTGTACAATGTACGAACTGTGTTACCGTTATGCACGGCGCTTAAATAAATGTACGAACTGTACAGGGTGCGCCAGAGAAACTTACTTATTTGAAAAAATTCCTGTGCGGTTAGTTGGTCGGGTAGAGGGGAGAGAGGGGGTGCATCTGAAGGAGAAAGTTCCCAAGTTTGTTTCTCAAAGTTTTTCAAACAAATTTGCTGTTGTGCAAGAATTAACTAAACGCAATTTTGTTGCCCGTCAAAATGCATGTGAAATGCTGGTTGACAACCTGCCTGAAGACGCGGTCGTTTTTTTCAGTGACGAGGCTCACTTCCACATTTCCGGCTGCGTCAACAACCAAAACATGCGTTATTGGTGTGGTGTAAATCCACGTGAGCTTCACCAGAAGCCACTTAACTGTAAGCGAGTTACTGTCTGATGTGCGACGTCGGTAATGGGAATAATTGGTCCTTATTATTTAAGAAAACGAACGCGCAGTTACCGTTAATGGAGCTCGTTACAGGAACATGATCGAGGAATTTTTCTTCTAGGTCTCGAAGAAATGGACGTTAGGAACATGTGGTTTCAGCAAGATGGAGTCCCAGCACACACAGCACGAGACTCAATGAATTTGTTGCGACAGCATTTCCCCGACCGCCTCATCTCTCTCAGAGGCGATCTCCAATGGCCGCCACGCTCTCCAGATTTGACTCCATGCGATTTCTTTTTATTGGGTTATTTGAAATTTCTGGTTTATGTCGATCGACCACGGACCATAGCACACCTCAATAACAACATTCGCGACGTCATTGCCAAAATACCGATTGATATGCTGCATAGAGTGGATAAAAATTTCAAAAATCGACTTCATCAGTGTACGCGCAATGGGGGTCGTCATTTATGAGATGTCATTTTCAAGACTGTATAAAAAAAAATTTGAGAAACTGTATTCTAAAAAAAAAAAATTTAAAACAATAATTGAAGTACTTTTGTTTTTATTGACCTTTCAAATAAGTAAGTTTCTCTGGCGCACCCTGTACTATGTACGAACTGTGTCACCGTTATGCACGGCGCTTAAATAAATGTACGAACTGTACAATGTACGAACTGTGTTACTGTTATGCACGGCGCTTAAATAAAAGAACGAACTGTGTTACCGTTATGCACGGCGCTTAAATAAAAGAACGAACTGTGTTACCGTTATGCACGGCGCTTAAATAAATGTACGAACTGTACAATGTACGAATTGTGTTACTGTTATGCACGGCGCTTAAATAAATGTACGAACTGTACAATGTACGAACTGTGTTACCGTTATGCACGGCGCTTAAATAAATTCGTCGATCAAACGACCCCCACGCGGGCTTGAAAGATGCAAGCAAATTTTGACCAAGAGGACTGAAGTGAGCACGTTAATTGAAGCCCGTAACTACCTGGTTGATTTGGGTCGACAAACTGTTCTGAAGTTGGCTGAAATGTAATGGTGGGTGCAGTTAGGACAGCCTAAATGTTTCTAAATTTAAATAAATAACGTTTTGAGATCATTAAAATATTGATACAAGAACAATTTAGAAGTTAATTTTAATGACTACAAAAAATTATCAAATGATAACATTATAATTTACTTTGAAAAGGGCGCCGAGAAATTAAGATATTTACCTATTAAAATAGTGGAGAATTATTATATAATCCTTACTTGTAAATATTATGAGGTGAATCCAAATTTTCATAGTATGGTCTAAAATGCTCGATTAAACAACTGAAATAACTATTTTTCTAATACTTCCTCCTAATGCGATTAAATGAATAAATGACCCTGAATGAACGTACGGCTGCTGGCTCTGAATTAAATGATATAATTTACTCATTGAAATGCTTCTGCAATCGCCATAACGATAGCCATGATAATGGCTGCCTCCACAAAGCCATTCGAATCGTCCATGTATCTTATCCAAATTTCTTTGAAGCGTTTTCGAATAAATTTTCTAAAGAGCCTCTTCAGGAATATCTGCCTCTGTGAAGCAGACAGCTTTATTTGACCTTAACGACGTAAGGATTTTTCATTTATGACAGCCAAGGGAAAGGCTCCAAGCCGATCATCATTTGGACCTCGGTATTGAACATCGCACACCGACTCAGAAATATTTGGGTGAACGCAAAGCCTGGAGACCTGCTGTAGTTTCGGGACGAGATCTGCTATGAAAAGGTTTGCATGGATCCGATAGCTGCATGACGCTTCAGATAATATCATTTGACGTATCGATTCAGCGGTAAATCGCCATATCATCTTTACAAATCAGGCAATACTTCGAAGCGAAGTCCAAGTTTTTACATCAATTCCAACTAAATCTGAAAATTTTTGTGCTGGCAACAGCGTTCATCCTAACGGAATAGAATACTTATGGAAAAAAAATAACGTGTTGACGTGATGGTTGAAAATCACAATAGAAGGCATAGATGCTACGATGGAGAAACATTAACCAAAAATAAGAAAACACAGAATGTGTACATTTCCGAACCACGACATCGTTATTCAGCTCAGTTCTGATCTCAGTTGCACTGGAGATGCCTAACACATATTTAAAACTTTATGTAACTTTGAGCTGCAATTCAATTTGAGGATCATTTTTTACCAAACATTGATCACTGGCATTATTTTAAGAACAGATCGCATTGAACATTTACTTCAAAATTAAATGGATAATAAAGGCATGATTTTATAAGATAATACTCATGAAAATTGACCCCCATCATTGTATCAAAGACCGTATCTATGAAAGAACCGGCTCAACTGTGCTCCGTTTAAAAAATGAAAACATTGATTTCAAGACAGCGATCAGAAATACTCGTTTAAAATAAATATTCCCTGTTTTCGACAGTTGAAAATCCATGGTAGTGCAGACTAGTGAAGAGAATGTATTGCGAGGACAGCGTAGCTGTGTTATCATTGGGCTATAAATTGCGCTATCATTGACTCGCAGGCTTGCCTGTACTGGCTTTATATAGATAATTTCTAGTCTAAAGTGTTGCAGTTTTATCATGACTTGGCCGTCATGTGAAATAAAATAATATATGGTATTTCATCACCAAAACTCCAATTTAATTAGTCTACAGCTATTAATTCGTTAAGTCCTTACTTAACGTTTGATTAGATTTTGTTATGTCTATCAAATAAGAAAATGCGTATTGGAAACATGTCAAAACAAAACATTAATTTTATTCCATAATTTCCATTATCGATCCCTCAGATAAGACGCCTTATTAATTTTATAAGAATCAGCATAATCCTCGTGAGTAATGAATGCAATGAAAAGTAGTAGTAGTATTAGTGGCAGTAGTTGTGTTAATTACAAGATAACTTGTTGGTCATCATCGGTTCCTCATACAAGACGCATAATTATTTCTCCCAAGAATCATCATAATGCTAATAAATGATGTATGCAGTATAAAAGAAGTAGCTGTTGTTTTTTTAATGCTCATGAATGCAGTATAAAAGAAGTAGCTGTTTTTTTCTTAATGCTCATAAATGATGTATGCAGTAAAAAAGGAAGTAGCTGTTGTTCTTTTTTTAATGCTCATAAATGATACAGGCAATAAAAAATAAGTAGCTGTTGTTGTTTTTTTAATGCATTTAATAATGTATGCAGTAAAAACGAAGCAGTTGTTGTTGTTGTTGTTGTTGTTTTTAATGCTCATAAATGATGTATGCAATAAAAAAGAAGTAGCTGTTGTTGTTGTTACGATAAAAATCGTCTGGTTGCGGAAATGAGCTCTGGACACAAGCGGCCGCGGATGACAGCTAGAGCAGCTCATATCACCGTCTACGACGATGCGGAACGAATGATGGAGCAGCGATGCGACTTCCATTAATGCCAGCTTATTATGCATCGCAATATTGATGGAGGGAACATAAATTACCTAAAACATGAATAATGGATGCTCATCTTTGTTATAATTGACAAATCTTCAAGCATTTAAATAACGGGTAACGGAAATTTTAAATTGAGGGTTCAGAAAAAAAACACGAAACTGAAAACAAACTCAGCTGTTGCTAAGTGTTTTTGAATGCATACTTGATGTGATAGCTATGTTGAATTACTCTATTCTAAATATAGGCTATTTCGTTACTGGAAAATAAAGTTGATGAAAAGTAATAAGCAGCAAAGAGGCGAAGGGTGTTTGGAGTATCAATAATTTATAATAAGAAGTCATTAAATAATCCAAATTAGATATGAATTAGAAATGAATCATATTAAAGAGAACGATGATAACCATCTTCTCGCTGATACTTAATTCTTCGAAATGATTTCACTAAAATGGAATTACAGCTTCTAAATTGTCTATGAATTGTCACCAGATGTTAATCCGACAACTTGTACTATATTATTTCCACTCTAGTGCACATCTTAATCATTATTCGAGACACGTTATAATTGAGTTATGATATTCTATACGGACCGAGAGGGTCTCTCATGACAATATATAACAAAATAATATAATAATATCGCATCCTGAATTATTAAATCAAGTATGAAGAATTTTGATGATCTAGAATAAAAGAAATTATAAAAAATTTTGCAATTGCATAAAAATACAAATTTGCACACAGTTACAGCAGTGTTTTCTTGGAAAATACATTTTTTAAATTAAATTATCTATCCGATATCGGGTTTTGATTATGCAAGAGTACTCCATTGTCTAAGCAATACTTTAGATTATAAGAGAAACATATAAGAGAAACTTTTACCATTCTGAATCCACTATCAGTTGGGCTTCTTTGGATATAACAATGCATATATTTAAATAAATAACTTCTCGTATGATATGTAATAATGAATAATTATTGATTGACGTGTAAAAAAACATAAATACTTGTTTGAAGTGTAAAAATAAATACTTGCATGAAGTGTAAAAATAAATACTTGCATAACGTGTAAGAATAAATACTTGCATGGTGAGTAAAAATTAATATTTGTATGATGTTTAAAAGTAAATACTTGCATGTCGTGTAAAAATATATACTTGCATGACATGTAAAAATAAATATTTGCATGGTGAGTAAAAATTTATATTTGTATGATGTGTAAAAGTAAATACTTGCATGACATGACGTGTAAAAATAAATACTTGCATGACATGTAAAAATAAATACTTGCATGGTGAGTAAAAATTATTATTTGTATGAAGTGTAAAAATAAATACTTGCATGACGTATTAAAGGAAATACCAGCAGGCAGCTGTCGGTGATAGTTGTTGTTGAGGAGGTGGCAGCAGGCCGCGGTGACGCAGATGAGCAGGGATGCGATCTGCCCCAGCAACAACGCCCGCCATATCGACCTGTCGGCACAAACACAGGTTATTAGTGTTCCAGTCAAGATATAGCAACAGTTACGCTGGAAACTTGCATATGAAAGTTGTAACAAGTTTTGACATTAATCCTGGTCGTTTGTCTCGGAAGCTTTTTGAAATTTTCAGTTAAAAATTAATTGCAGGGCTATGCAAGTTCAAAGTAAAAGTACTGAATGGCATTCCCGATCTTTTAACTTGACATTACTATCACATAAATGTTAGCCATAGCAACCGAACTAAAAATAGTCTCATTGTGAATAGGTCAATTTACACGAATTTGGGATTTCAGAAATGTTTTTGCGTAGAGGTCCTCCTGCGAACATGGCAAGCAAATTGCAAATCATCATTTCTCGCGATCATAATTAATCTCAATACAATAAAGGGAGAGAGAATTTTTTTTTTTTCGAACCATTTGCTGTCATAAATTTGGCGACGGTATATGAGAGAGCATACCTCGAAAAAGTTCTTGAAATTATTGCAGGTTACATTTTTCATTTATGTTTTGAAGAGATGCAATACATCTTGATTGCCGAAATAATTAAAAGTGACATGAGATTCTAACTTATCCATGAATAAAACGAAGCAAAATGAACAAATGGACATGATGGCAAGAGTGAGACCACGTGCAGGGATGAATAAGTCGCATATAATTGATGATACCTTGCATGAATAGCTCGTCTCATCGCATCCATTAGCAGCGTCACGGGGAGCTATGACGAGTGATGGACCTGGCATGACGACAAATGGTATACACGTATATATTATACACATGTTCTGGCTACGTGAGCCGTGAGCCTTCATACCCCAAGAACAACTGAAATATCCGCTAACATCTCTATTTCGGAATGGAGTAATGGATAAAAAATTCATCACTAATTTCAAGAGGGAATCCATGAAGAATTCATAGAACTCAAGTCGAATCATCTCAGTTGCCAAGCAAATGATGATACACACAATTCGTGTGTCAGGACCGCGGACGACGGACGTAAAGCTTCGTCGCACGCAAGCTGAGCGAGGATAAGCACATCCTTGCAAATGAGACGGCCGCCATCAAACTGATCCGCTCAGGGCCACGAATATCAGACCCTGAGATCGAGCACCGCGAAAGTCCCTAAAAAGCTTATTTTGTCACCGATGTTCTGCTTATCTGCGGCCCGCAGTCTGCAGGGCCCCATCATAAATTCGCTGTTACAGACATCGACTCGCTGTTAGCTACGAAAGCTCAGGACTGTGGCGACGAGCTGCAGCCACGGATGCTTTTAGGCTAATCACAGCATTATCAGCTACTCTATGGCAGTCCTTGCTTTTCAACTTTAACAACCTATGGGCTTCATGACATGATTTGGCGGTAGAATTTGGGGGCTGGCTTTAACTGAGGCAAGTTTGCTCAGTATTATGGACAGTCCTGCAATAGGTAGGTAAGAAAGTACCTCACATAAAACTTATAGAAATATAGGTGGAAAAGTTACCACACGCGAGAGTTACCACCGTAAACATGGAAAGTATACAGAATTATTGCGCAGAATTGAATTTTATGTGGAGAATAAACCTAGTTACACGCTTCTTTAAACTAAAAATTATAGTTGTATGGTCACAGAATTGATATAATCGTACAAAATCAAAAGTAATTTCGGATCTAAGAAACGAGATTGCAATATATTTATGATTTTCTACAAAACCATATATAATTTGATTTTGTCTTCAAAATTATCTGCATGATAATCGAGTACGAGGCATCTACCAACACAATGTTCACGTATTTTGGAACATTGATATTTTTTAGCTTCCTAATTAGATTTCACTTGTATTGTCAAAAATATTTTCGTCAACGTCCAACTATTGTGGGCCTTATTTGCTATGTTCTGAAGACTTATAACAATTTTCCCGCATAACAATTTTGGGGAATTAACACAGTTACTCCGCTGTATAGTACCAACAGTGGAGAGTTCAAACAAGTCCTGGCAATAACAACTGTCCCGAAAGTTGGGCAATTTGAAGCGCAGTCCTAATGAAGTACTTACGGACGACTGAACAGGATAATTGTGTCAGAATTTTAAATTGAGCTTGGTAACAAATATTATGTTAACGGATGTTGTCAATGACAATAATTAGTGAAAGTGATTTTAGTTGAATGCATGATAATTTTTCAGTGATGTAAGCATCAATATTTTCGCCCGCATTCATGGAACTAAACAAGCTTTGTTTCCGATAAACCATCATGTGCGAAATTTGTTGTGCAAGTTATGCTGCACCTGCTCTAGTTTTTATTCGCACCCGCAGTTTTACCTTCAATTATTTCTAGCTTCTGCACTAGACAACCTTGCCAGTTTCGGAAAAAACAGTCAAGCAAAAGTTTTCCTGAAAAAAAAACATATTTCAGTCTTCAAGTAACAAACTTCACTTCAGTTTGAACAGAACTGAGAAAGAGGCTAAAGCAAATTCCTGCACCATACCGCAAAAACGTTCAGCTTGAGGAAGCGAAAAAAATACGTCCAAGTTTGTCCGGGGGAAGGATTTTGAACATTTAGCTGTACACTTAGAGGATTCTTAGGCCCAGCAGAGCAATAAAGAACGCATGAGACAGCCAGGCAAGTTGCCTCTTTGCTCCAGCAATAATGAGAAACTCCTCTTTAGCGAGGAATATTTCGGGCTCTATATAGTACCGTCAATATTTCAATGCGGCGAGTCGTGGTCTATACACGACTGCCGATGAAGCATACATAACCAAGATGGAAATTTATGGACCAACTTTGGACCGCCGAGGTTTCCTGAAGAAAGTCCCACCGTTATTTGCAGCGATGCTTCATAAGAAAAAAAACGAAGGCTGTCATCTGCGGGTAAACAGGCGAATCTGGCTCCATGTAGGTGCATTTATTTCTTTTGAGCTAAGACAGAATGAGATCTTCAGAAGAAAAAATTATTAATTGAGAAAGCCGAGTGCAGAACATTTTAAATAAATATAAATCTTTCGGTTTGTTCTACGTTTTATAAACTCGAAATCGTTTAGTAATCAAATGCAAATGCATTCAATTGCCACATTCATTGGTTTATCGTTTTCAAAAATTACTGCGTCTTGTGAAGTAGGCTAAAGTAAAAATAATGATTCATAGTGCAGAAGGGAGAGAGTATAGCCTTGATAACTACTAATTTAACCTCAAAGCTAAGGAGCTGTATAGACCAAGCTAACCTTGTCACATTGGATTGGCTTACTTCGTGCCCGACTCATCACGGCCATACCTCAACAGATACCCCGTCTCTCCTCTTTGTATCTCCTCCGTCTCTCCTCAACAGATACCCCGTCTCTCCTAGCCGATATAGCCGGAAGCTAGGTTGGAGGTTGGGCATAGTTGCTGAGTCTGGGAGCTCTAGGCAACGAACGACACTCCTAGCGTAGCGACTTCGCGAGCACAGTTAATCGCAGACAGCAGGTGATGTGCCTGGACAACTTACGACGGCCACATCAACTCTCGACCGCCGAGTCACTTTACGTCGGTCACATCAACTTACTACGGTCACAACATTTTACACCTACCATATCATAGAACAGCGAATTGACTTTCCTCGAACTAATCGACTTGCGATGACTGTAATTTGGGGTACCGACATGATGGCCTTATATTTGTAATCTAGGGAGAGCTCCAGCTCATCTGACTTATAGCACACGATTGCAAAGGCTACTTTCCCTTCTAGCATACTTGCCAACGGTAAAATGCATGATTAATTATGAAGTTAGACATTGATAGACACCGACACTCACTCCGCAGGCGAGTTAAAGTCACCTAATGAGTTAGCGCAATAATTCAGTCCACGGCATTCTCGAATTCTTTCACGGGCGTCTGTGTAATGTTCTCAAATTAGGTCATGCAATTAAATTGCTAAAAATATGCCTTCAAGACTATAACATAAATACACTTTGTATTTGCGATCCACGCTCTCGATGTTCAGGCAGCTACACTCAGCTTTCAGTTCATTGTATCCTTTTCTTCTTTCTTGAACGCTGGGCAGAAAGTTTAAATCTCGTTGACGCTCAGCAGCACAGCAGCTTAATGAGCATGCAAATGAGGTGTGTTCAGCAATGTACCCTATAAGTTCCACCGGGCTCAAATAAGCGCAAACGTGTCAATAAACACAGTCATATTGTGTACGATATTTGAGTCACCGAACAGTTCAGCTGGTCACTGAACACCGAACATGAGCACAGATACCAGCTGAGATACCATGAGCACAGATAGCCTACAGCAAAGATAAGCATGAGCACAATAAAGCGACTTGGGCCACGCTGACGATAAGGTGTTCAAATACCCCATAAACTGAGAGAGATCCTCATCAACTTGCAAGCTTTCACGCATCACGTAGATTTCAACCAACGGATTGTGCAATTCAAAGACAGATTTCAACCACCCTGCACGGCCGGCAGATACGGAACTCCAGTAACTAGAGTTCCGTATCCGTAGGTGGCTGTGAGGAAGAATGAAATGTTGGAACTTAAAGAATGTTCGAAAGGAAATTGAATTTAATCGAATGTTAAGAATCAAGGTTTTATTTCATGCACGGATGTAAGATGTGTTTATCGTCTCTAACAAGGCTTGTCCCAATAACTTTTCGTAATGGCGTAATTGACATTAGTGGCCCTCCCGCGAAATTTATCCTTATATTTTCTTCATCCTTGTTACAAAACTTGAGCAAGTATTTCAAATTGAAAAAATTAGTTGCGTCAGTTTTTGAGTAATTGCAACACGTTAATTCCATCGAAGGAACAGAATTTAAAATCTTGAGCTCAAGTCTGAAATGCATTGAAAATGTAAGATGTACCTGACTGCGATTTTCATAAATACTGTATATGAAGGGCTAAAAAAAGCTCGAGTATTTGTTTTAGCATTGATCTCGACTTGTTTTACGAGAACCCATTAGGAGGAAAGAACTTCAAGTCCAATTTATCAGTAAGCAAGAAATATTCTTCAGTTCCTAAATTGGATACAAGAAACATC